TGCCTCAAGAGGAGTCCACCCCTGCCTATTTAGAGATTTCTCACTAACCAAATGGAATGGGGGTCCTGGTCAGACTCAGACCATAAGCAGGAAGGACTTATACTGTAAGCACTTGGCTATGACAGATGGACCCATTAAATATTCTCAATCTCAGGCTCTGAACACAGGCACTCATTTGTTGGGGTACCCTTCGGTGGTCCTGTATGAAATACAATTTGGCCCATTCCCCTTTCCCATCCCACTGGGTTCTTGAAAGATTGTGCTTCTTATAGACAGAAGTCCATGAGCTTACGGCTGTCATTGATGCAGAACATAGTAAAGTGGGCTCTTCTTGGGCTGATTCTAAACATCAGGCATCATGGACATTTATTCTAGAGGAGGCTTTAAAAAAAAGGTCAGATCTGGACTGGTGTCTTCTGGGGAAAAGGAGGAGGTCAAAGGCACCAGGACAGCAGGGCTACCAGCCTCACTCAGCAAGGGGACTTTCCACTTTCGACCTGAGCTTCAGATCGCAAAGAAGACAGCAGTCCCAGGTCAACTCCACGCCTGGGCCAGAGAGCAAAGATGACCAAACTGTCCTGACGGGCCCAAAAGTTTATAAACCATCTGACCATCTACCTTAGGGAATATTTATATTCTTGTTCATAAGTGTCAATCCAATGTCTCCCTTTTTTATGTTGAACTAAAGAGCAGTTAGTCACTTTTCTCCTTTTAGACCACTCTTTCAGCAAAGACGTCCCAGATATTCCAGCATCATGGTTTCTTGATGTTGACTCACACTAACACAGGGCTTCATCTAAGTATCATTGTGATTTTACTTAATGGTAGGCATGATATTAAGAACTAAAAATGTACCAGCAGTAAGGATCTTCTGGAGGGTGTGTTCTTCCTCTTAAAATTCCCTTATACTGAAAAAAAAAGAAAAAAAATCACAAGTTATTCCTGAAGAGTGGTAGGAAAGTACAACATAGCTTGCACATAACACACACACACACAACCCATAGCTCTCACTGCTGTAAGAGGAAATGACAGTGGTTCAGAAGGACTTGAACAACTGCATTGAATGCCTCTGACAGGTCAAGTGAGGGAGATGAGGGCTAAAATGCATTCATTGGCTATAGCAACATGGAAACCATTGATGACCTCAGCAAAAGGAATTTTGGTGGCTAGGAAGACATGGAAAGCCTAATGGAGATGGCTGATAGCTGGCAGGATATGAAGAAGTAGAGCCAGCCACAGCATGGCAACAGCTAAAGAGGGCATGGGGCTTGAGAGGAGGGATGTTTTTGCGTGTTTTTTACAATAAACCTGTTGAGAATAATTAGGATTCTTAGAATAGTCCATGAAATTACCAGAATTAGTTGCTTTTGGTGGAGGTCAATGTGGAAAGAAAGAAAACCAAGCTAAGAGAAGCCAAAGTCAAAGGACTGACATATTTGCTTTATGGACAGATTTTGTTTCCCACCCCCCAGTCGGGATGCTGGCCTAAACTTCCGTAGCAACTAGGAGAATCCCGCCCACCTCCAGGCTCCAGGTCATTCAAACCTGCTGTTAGGTTGATTCCATAATCAAATTAAAGCTTTCTCAGGGCCTGAAAATTGAATCCTCAAAGTGAATGGAATGGTAATGATAATGTCAGCTAATCTAATTCTGTGTGGAGAACAGATCCTAAAACAGTAGCATAGCGAAGATGCACAGAAGCATAAACACAAAACCAAGGATAGCTCTTCCTGGCCACAGACAGGTGCATGTTTTGTTTTGAAACTTTTTTTTCTTCTGATTTTAAAGGAATACATGCTGGCCACAGAAAAGATGAAAATAGAAATCATTCCTAAACCCACTGTACATAGAGCCATACTTAAAAATTTTAGTAAATAAATGAAATTATATCATACTTAATACACAATTATATTAGCTTTAATTTATTATGTCCTGAGTAGTTTTTATGTCCTTAATATTATTTTAGAATCATATTTTAATGTTTGTTCACTATTTTTTTCTTTGAATGCCCTATAATTCATTTAACTTTGTTCCTGTTTTTGAACACTTAGGTTGTCTCCAGTTTTTACCACTACAAATAAAACTGCAGTGGATGCTCCTGAAAAAAGAACATTTTTACACTTGATTATTTTCACATGATATGTTTACTTTACAAAAATATGTATGTCCATTCACATCCCACCATCAGTGTATAAAAGTATTACTTCTTTGACCCCATCATCAGCATGAGGATTTTTTTAACCTTTGCCATGTTAGTAAGAAAAAATGTCTCTTTTTATTTGGTATTTTTTTAAATATTTGTGATAATGGACACATTCTATTTTATTAAATATTTATAGTTGCATTAACAGTTGTACGTTATGGTGCTCTGTGGGGAATACATTTGAACTTAAAAGCTTTCAATCTGAGAAAATTTTAACTCAACAGCTTGGAAGCAATCATTTCTCAGTCAAATAGTTTGTAGGTTAGAAATTTATTTAAAAGTCCCCAGGTGATATCTGGCATTCCTGTGTGTCTTAGGGCTGTTGGCATCGAAGTGTGCTCTCCTAGCTTTCTGATTTGCTAATGAAGACATGTTGACAGCTGAGGAAGAAGCCCGCCTCCGGAGAGGAATTCCCTTGGGCTGTGGGTCTAGAGAGCAGCTCACAAACTCAGTGTAGATTCATCCACAAAGCAGACCTGGAAGCCAGAAATGAGGAGGGCAAAGCAGATCTCTAGTTTTAAAAATGTGTTACATTCCTAGGCTGCCAAAAGTCTGGTATAGGAGGTTTTTACTACTCCGCTTAGGTAAAAGACTGTTTAAGGTCTCCACAGAGCTAAGTGAAATGTCTACATCAAGAAGTACAACTCTAGCCTTAACTCAATTTTAATAATTTCATGTTGAAGATTTTAATATAATAATGTGGATTTTTAATTGTCTTCCCTTGACTTAATGAATGTAAAAAGATCAAAGATATAGAGAGATGATTTATTTATAATTACACTTATTTATAAATCATTTAGTTTCCCAATGAAAATAAAGAATTTTCTCATTTTTGAAATCTGAGACTTGGGCCAAATGATTTCTAAGGTTTTATGTTTTTTGATTCTGTGCACAGAGTAATTAACAAAGAAATTACATTGCAATAGATGTCTCAAGATAGCAGGGATTACTACAAACTGCTCTTATAAGTGATATGTTTTATAAAGAAATATTTTATGCCTAGCACTCTTTTTAACTATGGAGGAATCTTTTTTTTCCTACAAATATTTGTTGATTACCTATCTACAGTGTGCAGTCCCTGCTGTAATCACTAGGAATTCAGCAAAAAATCCCTACCTTCAAGGAGGTTATGGAGGGAGGATATAGAAAATAAAAACACAAAGGTCAAATGGCAATAAATTATTTAAAAATATAGGAGATATATAGATGATAGATAGATAGACAGACAGATAGAAAGAAGGAACACAAGGGGAGGGAGATGAAAGACAGGGCTACCTTTATCTCAAGTGGCAGAGGAAGGTCTCCCTCCATAGAGGTGACATTTCTACTGAGACCACAATCATGAGGAGAGAGACGTGCAAGGACGCAGGGCAAGACATTCCAGGTAGAGGAAACAAGTGCAAAGCCCCTGAAATAATGAAGGGTCAGTGTTTTTCAACAACAGAAAGGAGGTCAGTTGTGGATGAGCCAAAAAGAATGATGGCAGGAGGTGAATTCAGAGATGAAGTAGACACCAGAATGTGTTGGGCCCTCTAGGCCACAGTAAAGAATCTAGATTTTATTTTCTTTGTGGTACAAAACCATTTGTAGGGTATTGAGGAGATCCAAGCCCGTGAGCCTGAAACAATCTGGGCAAATTTAATGTATGCTGAGTTGGGGTTCCCACAGGAAATCACAGAAGAGGAGGCCCTTGTGGTAAACATACACTTAATGACAGACAGGACAGAACTGAGTCCCAAAAGAACATGAAAATGGTTATAGCTTCATGATAAGGAGGGGAAGAAGGTGAGAAAAACAGAAAAAAAAAAAAGACTAAGAGGTAAAAGCATTGTGGTGAGTAGGGAGACCTCCGAATCACACTGCTTGGTCACTTCGTTGTCATGCCTGTCTCCCTGGCCATCCCAGGAGCTCCTAGTGGGCACAGGCCATCGTCATCCTCTTTCTTGTCTCTGCATCTTGTGCACATGGTGCCAGACGTTTACTGGGGGCTCTGAAGACATTAAAGCAGATGGTGTGTGTTGAGAACAGTACAAGCCAAGAGTAGAGTGGGGCTGCTTATGTGGAGTCAAGCTTTGGTGAGAACTGAAAAGTTCATGCAGCATGTATGATGACCTACACTGATAAAAGGAAGATTCTGTCCACTTGTCTGTTTATTGCTATATCACATAAAAATGGCTGTTATCAAAACTTGGTCTACTTGACATTGCCTGACTTAAAATGCAGACTCTTTAGAATCGTAGAAATATCTTTTGGGGGCAGTGGAAGGGATCTCAAAGAAGCAGGTGGCCAATCACCAGAATAACTGAATCCAAACTTCAGAAGAGGCCTGCGTATGGGTTAAGACACAGTGAACAGAGAAAATAAAAGTAGTTTCAAATATGAGCTGAAACTCAAAGGCACAGAGTCGGGTATTCAAATTGCAGTTGTTGACTTGTGAGGGAGCATCTCACATGGGCAGCTCTATCTAGCACATCCAGGGAGAATAGTTTCAGGGGTGAACTTGCATAAGGATTTTCCTGAGCCATGCTGGGAAAGCCACTAGTTAACTATGTAAGTAAAGCATTAAGAAGACTCTTGGGATGGAGAAATTCCCACTGGGGCCATCACTAGAAGGAGCTTTGAGGAACATTTCACCACTCTTGTCCCTTCCCTCAGCTCCTAAGAGGAAGATATATTTTAAAGGAACAACCTAGCAAATACCTAATTTGGGGGATCATCCCAAGTCTGACGCGAGAGCGATTCCGTATGTAGAAAATGTAGGCAGCTTCGTTCACCTTCTTAGAAGTGAAGCAGTAAGTCCTTCTCATTGAGATCTTTTCTGTCAATCTGTGGCAGTCTACGGATTCACACAAGAAGAGACAATTCACAGAGCTAGCATTATTTTGCCTCCTGTCTTCAGAGGTACATTCAGCTCTTTTGTGAGACATGGAGAAAAAAAAAGAAAAAGAAGAAAAAAATGGAGCAGAAAGGCGTGGAGGTGAGGAGACCTGCCAGCACCTGGTGTGTGGCCTTAGAGAGGTCACTTCAGTGCTCGGCTCCAGAGCTGCTCATCTGAAGGTAGCTGACTGGATTGCTCTCGAAGCGTACTCTTGAGGAACAGTAGGAAGATATGGTTTGGGTTGGGGGTGGGGGGTGGTGTTTGCTTTTAATTAGGGATAGAATATTGGAGAGGAGGTTTGGAGAAAAGCTGAGCCAAGTTTTTTCAGAAAAAGAAAGAAAAGAGAGAAGTTTGCCAGAGAGTATGGACATACAAAGGGACATATGTCTAGAGTGGCTCTTAATAGGTGTGTAGGCTGGATAATGATCCCAAAGCTGTCCTTGTCTTAATCTCCAGGACCCGTGATCATGTCACCTTACATGATAAAGAGGACTGTGCAGAGGGGATTAAGATAAAAATCTTGAGATTATCCTGGATTAAATAGCTGGGCCTGATATAGTTACAAGGATCATTACAAGAAAGGGGCAGGAGGTTAGAAAAGAGAGATGTTATGCTGCTGCCTTTGAGGACGAAGAAGGAACCACAAGCCAAGGAATGCATGTGGCCTCTAATTTCCAGAAGCTGGAAAGGGCAAGGGAATAGATTGTCCCTTAGAGCCTCCAGAAGGCACTGAGCCCTGCAGACTCAGGACTGTAAGACAATAACTTTGTGTTATTTTATACTAAGTTTATGATCATTTGTTACAGCAGCCACAGGGAACAGACACAGCAGGGATTTCTGTGTGGTATGGGATAGCATTTCTCCATTTTTGTCTGGAAGGCTTCAGCAAAGTATACTTACCCCTCAGTATCTCAGGAGTCCAGCTGCAGTTTCTCTCTGGAATATGATGACATGCTGAGACTGGCATCCAGCCCGAGTGGGTGCAGGTTGGCTTCTGGAGGCTGAACAACACTTAAATCAATTACATGTGACATGAAGATGGTGTACTAGGTGATCTCAAACATCCTATGATTTCATTATTTCATAATGTCCTCTCAGATCACACTTGGGGTGGGGAGATAAGAATTTTTGTACAAAAATCCACCTTAGGCATCACATATGTATGCCCTTTGTAATTTGTAGCATTGCATTAACAAAGTAAGTCATTATCATATTTTTTTAAATGGGAAAATAAAATCCTCAGTGAGCCCTGACCTACTCAAGATCTCACCAAAGCTAAGGGCAATACCTGAGGTCTCTGATTCACTGTCATATGCTCACTGTATGATGGTGCACTCTCACCTTTTACAGTGTTAACTTTAAAAATCTGCGTGTGTTTTAGAAGTGGCCTATGAGCTCACCATATTTCCTAATAACTTTTGCTTGCAGTTGAACTCCTAGTAATTGGAATGCTTGGGAAATATGTTCTAGCTAACTTTTCTGGCTAACCAAATGTGAACCAGAAGAAGTATCGTTATACTATTCTTCCTATCCAGAGGTTTTCCAAACATTAATGGCTCGCTCTCCTACCTTGGTACAACCAGCATGGCAAAGAGCGTTTGGTCCATTTTCATCAATCACCAAGTCTCTGTGTCTCAGCCATCATGTAGGGCATTGGTCACTGTTTCAATGCCTACACTAATAAGCTGCTTTGTAGTTTCTAAACCACATCCACAAGCATCATCTTGTTAAATCTTCATGACAACTCTACAAGGTAACTATTAATACTCCCATTTTTCAGATGAGAAAACGGTAGCTCAGAGATTTTGAGACTCACCCAAGGTCACACAGCAGAGTGAGGGCCTAAGCCTCAGTGCTCTGCTCCAAACCCAGCGTCTCTGTAGGCATAGGCAGTGTGGCCCTGGAACCTTCCCAGCCCTAGGATTTTCCCATAGATCAACCACGGTTCCAACAGGAGGCAGATGGCCCATGCAAATCCTGTATTTTGAAGAAAGTGTGATAAAAATAACTATATTATACAAAGGTGCAGGTAGAGCAATCATGAGGCAAAGTGTATTTCTGGAAGCACCACACTCTGCCTGAAAGGGCAAAAGGAGAGAAGAATAATCAGGACTCAGAGAGAGATGGCTGTGTGGAGAGGGCCACCTGGCAGGAGCCATGGTCTTTAGCGGATGGACACAGTGACCCAGCAGAGGGAAGCTGAAGATAAACAGCGAGCCTCCCTCTCCTCACTCTCCCTATTGCCTGCTGGTGCCTCCCATTGACCAATCCAACCAGAGGGCCAGGGAGCCTTGGATGTGGGCCATGCCTGGCAGCACCCCAGGACACAGCTAGAAGGTGAGTGAAAGAGAATCCAGAAGAACAAACAGAGGCCACTTCCACCCCCTGAAACTCTGTTTTGACTAAATTCCTGATATCCTGTATCTAATAGTAATTTCTGGCTTGGCTACAATAGCCACAATTGAGCTAAACACATAGTAGGAACTCATTAAATACTTCCATGCAATGATTTATTTAATAGAATGTCTTAGATCTTTTACAATGGCATGCAAAGATTAAATGATTTTCTTGTGTGATTTGCATCCTCTAAAAGAAGGCTTTCCAACTGGAATCTCATTAATGGGGCATTTTTTATTTCCTTGGGCTCTGGTTTTGTGATTTTTATTTTGTTTTGGTTTTTTTTTTTGGTTAATATTACTAAATGCTCAATGAATAGCCCATGATGCCATGCAGGGACCTGTGATCTTGGACCTGCGATGAGGGGAGAAAAGAGTGAACAGAAACGGCAGGCTGTGATTTCCTCCCTGACTTGGGGGTTGGAGGATAAAGGTGGGATCTCAGTGCTAAATAACCAGATCTCTGAGCAAGCCTCCCTCGCTCCTCCTGCTTAACTAGATGCCAGGGATTCTCTGGAAAGTGTTTTCACAACAGTTTCTGCCAAATAAACACACAGATGATATTCTCACCCCCTGGAGTGTTGACAAACAGAGAAGCAGAATGGGAAACTTTTGTAAGCACAGATATTGTCCCAGACTAAGTAACAATCAATGCTCGTAAGGTGTTTTGGGTTTGTTTTTTTTTAATTATTTATTTCCAGCAAATAAATTTAGAACAACTCCTTACTGTTTTGTACTGCTGGGTGTCAGAGGCAGATTAATTTTGGATTTATACTGCTTGTTAAAGGAAATCAACATTTATATCTTTACAGAATTAATTGTGGAAGTACAGGAACCAACACAACAGAGCCTCTTTAGGTTTATTCCTCGGATGCATAGACTTCTGCCCATTCCAGGGAAAACAAAAAAGCCTCAACACAAAAATGCAATTGTTTTGCCTAGAACATAGCATGCTTATGATTCCAATTACTAGCATAGCTTAATGAGATAAGTTATATAATTGTCACAGCTATTCATATCCTCCATTATAAGAAAAGCATACAACCTCACCCTTTGCCATGTGACCAAAATGCCTCCTATTCTAAGGGCATGTAACGCACCCCGTTAACTGTGGGCTTGGTCATTTGACTTACTTTAGCCATTGGCAAGTCAGGGGAAATGTCACTCCCAAACAGAAGCAGAAGAGGCATTGAGCACATTGCCACTAGTCCTTGTTCCTGGTCTGCGCAGGAGAGAACGGGTCTGTCCGGTAGGGACCGCTCCTCTAGCCTGAACCCCAGGATGTGCAAACACAGACCCACAGTCAGGAGTGAAGAAAAGGCCCAAAGCCAATCCACAGCCTGGAACAGAGTCTTAGCAAAAGATAAATGTCATTGTTGTGACATATTGAAACTTGACATTGTTACTGTAACAAAAGCTGGTTAATGTGCTCAATAACTTATTAGAAACAGAAAAAGAAACAGCAAGTTTTGAAAAGGAATCTGAATTGGTATGACCTCTTTTGTATAACTTCTCAGTTGTCATAGATTCAAACTGCCCTTTAAAGGCCTTCCAAGTAGATCAAAGCCAGCTGTATCTGAGATTCCAGGAACAATACAAATGGACTAGCACATTGTTAAGTATCATGGCGGGTGATCGAAAATTACTTGAGATGGGTTTGATCTATCAGACACTTAGCAAAGATATAACTGGGGAGATTAGTGATCCGAAATACCAGAAACCCTGGTTTTTAAGCCAATTATATATCTGAGTGAATTTGTCAGGCACCACCATTGTATGATTTAGGAGGCATGCGCACACACACAGAGGACAAGACATCTTCCTAACCACTCTGTCATGGTCCAAAAATGCCAAGCATGATAAACTGTGGCCTGCCCAAGAAGTACAAAACAGAATGTGACTGATCGAGAGGCTTTAACATGTGAGACACTGCTGGTCACTGAAGAAACTGAAGATGTTTAGTCTGGGAAAGATAAGACTCCAAGAGATATGTTAATTGCCTTCAAAAACTTGAAGACTTTTCCCTTGAACAGATTAGTCCTAATTTGTATAGAAACGGAGAACAAAACTGGGGACAACAGAAAGGAGTTACCAGGACACAGATCTCAATCCAACTTCCTATGGCAGTTTGTTAGGGCAGGGCAGGCCCTGAGATTCAGACACATGTGACCTGGGTCTGGCCACCAGTGTAAAGCCACAGTGACTGACAGGCCAGCGCACCCACAGTTGGGGTGCAAACACAGAGCTGTATCTGGCAAGGACTAGCGGGGCAACAGAACCGAGGGCCTCAGCCGAGATTCTGCCATGAGAGACTCTGGCTGAGTGAGTCACAGGCATGAAGGTGAGACGGGGGTCACGCCTTCAGGGGGTCATGCTGACAGTAGGTGAGCCCCCATGGCCTCGCCACTCGACGATGTGTGTACATCTTGGGCAGCAAAGTCAAGGGTGTGGAAGAATGAGAGGAGTATAACCCCCAAAGGCCCAAGCAAATCTGCTGAGATGCCCCTTTAGATAACAAAACACGGGAAAGGAAAAAGCTACTCTGCAGACATGGGAAAGGTAAGCACAAGTTGGTTGCAGAGAAAGTACCAGGGCATTAGGTCTGCAGCCAGAAGAAATTCAGGGGAGCTTCAGCAGAGAAAAGCCCTGGATAAG